ATACCACCACCCATCCTGCAAACTTCCCTTAGGACTCAGGCAGTCTATCCAAATCTTGCCCAGAAGCCCAGGACCATTGCACTGGCCTCTGCCTCCCTTTATGCCCACAATCAACCAGTCATAATTTCTTGAGTTTGCCTTTATCCTCCCCTGATGCTTGTCTCCTGGACCCAGGTCTGATCTTCTGCCCTTTAAAAAATGTTCATATGTTCTGTTTAAAACTCTGCCCCCTGTTCCCAGACACACTCAGTCAGAAACTCCCTGTTGTGGACACCGTGCAATGTGAAATTTATGTCAGGCACAACCTTCAAGGCTTCTGTTCTGTTGTTATCCCATCTTTCAAGTTTCATTTCTGCTACTTTCCACATCACACTCTGGTGATAAGCGGTCATACATACATTTACACACACACACACACAGTGCATATATCATCCCTGGGCTTTGACTCCATGTCACTTTCTTCCGACTATCTTCCTTCATTGTGTGGTAATTATCTGTCTCCATATTGACAAAGAATAATCTCACTGTGTTTAGTTTCCCTCAGTGATGCCTGTGAAACCTTTTATGCCCCTTTACTGTTCAGTATTGCAGACAAAATCACGGTCAATAGAAAAGCTATTCTCTCTCTCTCTCTCTCTCTTTGGATAGGGTTTCTTTATATAATCCTGGCTGTCCTGGAACTCACTATGCAAACCAGGCTGGCCTTGAACTCACAGATATTTTTTACCTCCTAAGTGTTGGAACTGAAGGTGTGAGACACCACACCCAGCCAGAAAAGCTATTTTCAATGCTTCTTAGGGAAAAATAACTGCTCCAAAATGGGTTGAACTATTTGATGGGCAGGAAACAACAGGCAAAAACTGAAGATTGAGGCAGATGGATGTCGTAAAAGGATTATGGCTGAGAAAGAGTCACATCTGCAGACATGGGCATGGCTCTTAGTTACTGATCGGCGATAGCATACACAGTAAGTTTCTTATGGAATGTTGCCCTCTCAAGTGTTTAGGAACTGAGATCGAGATCTTAGACACTGTAGGTACCTTAATAAGACAACGGTTGATAAAAAAGATTGAAAGGTGTCCATAGGGAGGGTCTGGAGGCAGAGACTACCATCTTACTTTTGGTGCAGATGAAGATGTCTTTGATATAAATGTGCATATCTACCTGCTGCCGGACTTCAACTTGCTTCAGTCTGTTTAAAGAGACTGCCCAGGTTATGCATGGCACATACCAACACAGTAGTTTTTGAACCATTTTAAAAACAGCTCAAAAATAATCCATGAAATATTTTTTTGGAAATGCCATGTCAAAAAAAAGAGAAAGAAAGAAAGAAAGAAAGAAAGAAAGAAAGAAAGAAAGAAAGAAAGAGAAATAAAAGTAGATGCCTAGCTTCAGGGAACTCAGGCCCCTGAAATAAGGAGCAGAGAAACCCTTCCATGCTCTCAAAGCAGCCCTCCAGCCTCATCAAGTGCATTTTACGCAGGGTTTGGAGGTAGCTCTCCAAAACATGAGCAGAGCCTCCTAGGAAAGCAAATCTTTCCCACATCCTTCCCTGCAGTTCCTCTTTAAGAGGTGTCAGCATGGCTGAAAGAATGAAGTGGCGGCGCATTGTCAGGCCCAGCCATTATGTGTTCAGCATTTCCATAACAAAGGTGCCACTCGACTTCTCCCCCGATTAATGCAGCTCGAGGGCTCTTGTCGCCTTTAATAAAACATTGTTGAAATCATTTATTTAGAGCCCCTGGTTACTAGTGGGAGAATGACCATCTTTGTGCCAAAATATAGTGTATACAGTCCACTATTTTGTAGTAGATCATTGTGTTATTTACGAAATCGATTAAACGGATGCCTTGGGGGGGGTATTGATGTTAGCAGCACATTACTTATGTCACTGGGATAGTCAAGGGTGAACTTTGTCAACTCTCTTCCAGGAGCAATCCCTCAAACAAGAATACAGCGGTGTCCAACTTAACGGGCACGCGGTGAGCCCCACTGGAAACGTGTAAGGCCAGGCCACACGGCTTGCGTAACCCCATGCTCTCCCACCATCCTCCCTGGAGTAGCTGAGAGAAAGCCAGGTCAACTGACAACATTCGCCATGTTTCTTGGTGTGAGGGGGTCAGGAAACAATGATGGCATACTTTTCCTTCTTGGAAAAGATACACGGACTATATGTTCTGGAGCTTCTACGATGTGGTTCTCCGTGCTCATACGGCAGCATCCAAGCCGGGAAGCTGAGAATTTGCTGCATGTTTCCAGAAGTTCTCATAGCATTCTAGGGGTTCCCTGATTCTGGATCCTATGTGACCTTGCTGGGATGAGGAAAATGCATGAGCTTGGCGCAAAAAAAAGGGGGGGGCCACGACCTCCCAACTCCACGCTCTGTTGTTTCTCCTGCTTTCTACCACTGTCCATATTCTCCAGGGTAGAAAGGGCTGCTCTTCTGTCTTCAGGTGGGCTCCACTAGAGACCTGTGGTCCCCTTAGGGTCGTGTGAGAGCCCAGTTACCGTTCCCTTCACTATGTGGCACTTGGGACCAGGGGCTGCTTCTATGGTTATGGGTGACTGTAGGAGTACTCCTCGAGTGTAGAGGTGTCCTCTAAGCGGACAAGTTCTCTTCCTTAGGGCCATTTTCCCACTTTATGCATGGGGCTTCCGCGTGTACATGGCTGCATATGATGTTGTTAAACATCAACAGGGATCTGATGTTGTGTCCATTGTGGTCACATACAAAAGCCTTGCTGTGTGCTGGGGTGGTCGGTGAACCTGAACCTCCTCTATTTACTGTATGGTTCCCTTCAGCTCGATGAACTGTCCCCCTTGTTCTTGACCATTGTCCCACACTCCCTTAAACTGTTTGTCACTGAAGTGCTTCCAAAGACAGATGAACCGTCACAGAGAATGGCAACCTCCTAACTGAGGAGATGGAAACAGCCTGGAGATAGATTAGACATGAAATCCAAACCCTGCCCCTCGTGGGATGGGGGCGGAGGAGGGGGGACTTCCTGGAAATCCCCCAGAAAAGTTGAAAAAAACTACCTTTTCCCTCTCGGTAATGGCACTTCCAGGCATCTCCAGGAGATATCTGAGCCTGCCAAATGTCCCGAATTCCAAAGGCCTCCCTAGAGACGTCCAGATATTGCAGATGCCAACATCTGTAAAAACCTTTTCTGTCCAGAAGTAGACGGCTGGCTGGTGGATAAAGCCACCACGCTCTTGAAGCCCAGGGCTCTGCATCTCTGCAATCCTCTCTGAAATGCACTAGATCTGTCCGGAGGCTGGGGGACGCCAGGCTACGTGGTGTCCTTGTTTGAATAAGCGGACCTGGATCGTGTTCACTTTCTTCAAGGGAGAAAGCATAAAGCCACATCCCTTCTTGCCCAGAGTAAGCTGTGATGATTTATTCTAGGCAGATGCCTCTGACAGGGCCCTGTAAAATCAAGTCGTGAGTTTATTGTAGCAGTTAATTGTGGGCCTTTTTTGGTGCTGTCTAACTTATTCCTTGGGAAAACTGGGCCTTTTACTGTGACAAAGGCTTAACTTTTAGTTGAGGATGTGTTAAAAAAATAACTGGGGAATGGAGAGAATTTAAATATATTTAAGCAAAAATGCAGGAGCAAGGCTAACCTGTAGTCCTTTTGTAAAAATAAATAAATAAAATCTGATTCCCCTTACAAGCCTCTAGGAATCTCCTCATTTCAGTTCAAAACAAAACAAAACAAACAGAAAACAAAACCACACTTCTCTCGGCTTTAACATTATGTTTGATGAACCATTCAGGTGATATCCATCCTGACACATCACTCTCCTGAGCTCCAAGCTGGTATCTGGGGCTTTCTGGTACCACACATGGGAGATCTCGGTTTGGGCAGGGGGACATGAAGAGGGGTTTGGACTCCCCCACTAATAGCCAGGAAGAGAGATGCAAAAACAAAATCCTCAAAAGTAGAGGTGGGAGCAGGTGGGAACCAGTGGGAAAGGGGGACAATTTGCTTAATTACTTTAGGCAGCCGAGAAATCAAGTTGTTTTCTCAGCACATGCTAATATCAAATAAAGAGACACCAGATCTGGTTAATCTGTCGACCCCTCAGACAAAGTTTATTTGTGGTGACTTTTAAACTCCCGACTTGCCTTCCAATCACCGAGTTTAAAATGAAAAGCTTTAAATAAACACCAGGAATAGAAGATAAATAAACTTTCCCCCCTTGCAAGTGCCTAGCTCGCCGAGGTCCAGGCTCAAATCCCCAGAGGACAGACTGCCGCTCTCTTTTGTGTTAATGTTTAAAAGATTTTCCAATGCCGGAGTTTATTCCTACTGCAAACATTTCTATTTACAAGGTCAAGTGTATCAGCACTCGACACAGCTTAAGAGTGTAATTATTTATGTAAGGGCGTTTGAGTGTGCATCAGGAGCTTGGCGGAAGCCCAACCTTCAGCCCACTGTTCAACAGTTCCTCAGGACAATATTACCAGTCCTGGTGATTATTCCCCTCCATGGCGTGTTTACTTTTGCGTGCCTCAGTGTTTTGTAACAAAATTTTGTATTTTTTTTCTCACCAAAAGTGTGAAAATGGCTTTGAAGTATTGAGTCTGGTAGGCTTCCTAGACCTATTGGTAACAGATGTTATTGGCACGTCTGGTTGAATGAGCAGGCAGAGAGGACACTCATGGGGGTCAGGAGCAAAAGGGAGGGGGTGCACAGGGTGGGTCTCCGAGTGAGGAGGTTATCCTCACACAAGAGACGGTATCTTGTGAGTTCTCCCCACAGATGCCAACAGCACCAGCAGAGGCCAGTTACAAATTGTTTTAGCTGCCTCATTTACAAAACATCTAATTGTTCATCAAATTGAAGGCAGCATTTAGCTCACATTCTGTTTGGCACTGCATTTTAATGTCACTTGGTGTTTGATGGACTCCCAGTGCCCCCTCCACACCCCTCCCACCCACCACTGGGTTAACCACAGTGAAACTGTGGAAAGCAACTGCACCAAAGCCACCATTTAAACTCTTTACTGATGTGTGCATTTTTAATAAAACAACCAAAAAATACACAAAGTCATAGTTATTTAAAACACAGGACTTTAAAAAAATGATGTCTATAAAAATACAATGTTTAAGGCAGTTTGGAAATGCGTTTATACATTTCTACAATGTCCATAAATTCTCTTGAAAATAAGAACGTTACTTCAAATCTGTAAAATACACTGTACATTTTTTTAGACTGTTCTACACAGGGCGCACTTCAAAAGGGACTTGCAGGAGTGGGTTCCTGGTGACCAATGTGTTCTATACATTTCTTGGATGGGGTGATGCAACATTGATGCAGATTTAAACCTTTTAATTTCTTTTTAAAAATAAATTATTTCTGATGCATACAATTTATAAAAATTCTATATACAAAGTACAGCAACTGGTAAGAAACCCCAGTTTTAATACAGTTTATATACGACGTACCAGGGTGGATGACCCCGATAGGGACAGAGGAGGCAATATACAATCTCTGCATTTTCAAACTTAGAATTTCTTGGTGTTAAAGAAAAAAAAAACAAACCATGAAACCAAACCAAAACAGAAAAAGGACAACAAAACAAACACCACACAGAAGTTTTCCTAGATGGCAGTAAGGAGCTTTAAGATAAAAAAGTTGCATTGTTCAACACCATGGTAATAGGCCAGGTTTTTGGACCCTTAATTCTAAGACACGTGGTGCTCAGAGATCAGAATGGTGGCAGTGAAGCCGAAGGTGGGGGTTAAGGTTATAATGCAGACATGATTCCGGGGACCCAGACAAGGCACTCGCCGGCTCCACAATCGGCGTTACCGTGTGCTACACCAAGTGCAAGAATGAATCGGGAAGGGAACGCTTCCATTTACTTACGATTGCTGTGTTTCTCAGTGGCCACAAGCAATTAAAGTCGCTACCAGCACTACGTGTCCCCCTCACAGGAAAACTGTTTAAAAACAAAACAAAACGGCCCCTTTGCAAAACTAATTCCCTCAGCATCCCCTCCCCCAGTCCCCCGGAGCTGTGAAGACCCCCACCGTTGAGCAGAGTCCAAACCTCCTTTGCTTTTGGCAGCGTGTCTTGATCTCTGCGGATTCGAGCCGGTAGGATAGATCCGTCATCTTTGCAGCCTGGAAACCACAGTGGAAGGCCGCGCATGGTGGCTGGGGTACGTGCTGGGGCCCTGTCCACCCTGGACGAGTGTGGGTCAGTGTTCCAGAAGACCCGCGGTCCCCGAGCCACAGGTGCCTGGCTCGGGAGCCAGCCGGATCGCGTGCACCGGCCTGCAGCAGGGGAGCAGGGGCTACAAGTGTGACCCGAGCAGTAGCAGCAGCAAGCACACAAGCGGGGTCCAGGCGTCTCGGGTCGCCCAATGGCCTCCACTGCCGCTGCCGCTGCTCCTGCGCCCGGGCCCATGGGGCAGGTCCCCGCGGCCGCCTGCCGCAGCAGCGCCGCCGCCCGGGCGCGCGAGGCCGTCGTCATCGTCCAAGGGCTGCTCGCCTCCCGCCGCCCCCGCGCGCTGCTCGTCGTCATAGTCTTCGTCGTAGTAGTCGTCCAGGCCCCCGTCCGAGCCACTGCTGCCCGGACCGTTGCCCGCGTCTGGGCCGAAGCACAGGCGGGCCATGTTCTCTTTGACCGACTCGCAGATGGGCCGCTCCAGCCCATCGCACACGCAGTCGTTGAGCAGCGCCGCCTTGGGCACGGCCAGCATGTCCTCGATGACCGCGCGGCACTCGTCGGTGCAGCGCAGCCCGTTGAAAAGCTTGCCGCAGTACGCCAGGTAGCGGCCGAGCGCCAGGTTGCAGCGGCTGTCGCGGTCGCAGCGTCGCCGGGCCTCAGTGCAGCCCATGACCGAGCCCGCTCCCGCGCCTGGGCCCACGTTGCTGGTGCGAGGCAGGCAGGGCTCGATGGCGCGCTTGGTGGACCTGCAGTGTTCGTCCTGCGCGCAGTCGCAGTCCTCCAGCGCGGGCCCGCGGCGCGTGTGGTTGAGCTGGATGAGTGCCGAGATGCAGTGGCTCGGGCAGCGCCAGCGCGGCGAGAAGGACGCGGCCGAAGCGGGGAAGGCGCCGGCGGACCCCGGAGCGTCAGCCCCGCCGCGCTGAGCCAGGACCGGAGCGCACGCCTCGGCGTACTGGCTGTAGGCGTAGCTGCAGTCGGGCTCGCCCTGGCACTGCAGCAGCGCCTGCCAGCAGATGAGGCGGCGGCCGTGCGCCAGCCCGGAGCCCCGCGGCGCCGAGCCGAGCAGCTGCAGCAGCGCCATCAGGCACAGCAAGGCGCCCGGAACAGTCCCCGAGCGGGCCCCGCCGCCGCCCAGTAGCGCGGCTAGCATCGCGGGCAGCAGCGGCCGCCGGACGCGGTGCAGAGCGGAGATGAGGCGCGGGCGGCGGCAGCGGGGCCGCTGGAAAAGTTTGTCCGAGTCCGGTGCACTTCTGGCATGGGCGTCTTCATCCATCCATGCCGGCGGCCCGGCTGCTGGTCGAGACGAGTGTTCGCTCCGGCACCACGGCCGGGGCTCCCAGAGAGGCTCGGCGACGCAGGTCCGGTTCTGGTCGGCAGCTGGAGGCACTCAACGCCGCCCCGGAGGGCCGCGGCGAGGCTGCAGGAGCGCGCGGCGCCGGGGGTGCATGGTGCTCGGCGCCTGCAGAGGATCGTGCGGCCGGCGACTCCTGGGTCCCCGGCTCAGTGGCGCGTAGCACCTCGCAGCTCTTGCATCCCGCCTTCCCGAGGTCAGGCCGCCGGGTCCCCTTCCCCTCCGCCCGGGCAACGCTCCGGGAATCTCTGGGCGCCGGGCTCTGGGAGGACCCCGAAACTCGGAACGTGCGGCTGGGCTCGGGGACCTGGAGCCTGGGGAACGGATCCGCGGAGCCCGGCAGCCGACTAGCTCGCGGCGAGGCTTTAAATACAAAAGTGGGCCTGGAGCCCCCGTGTGGTGCCGCGGCGCCCCCTCATTATGCATGCATAGAAAAGCAAACAAACAAAAACATTAGCAACGCTCCTTCGGCTTGCCGAGCCCCGGCCCCGCGCGCTCCAGGCTTGCCCGCTTTCTCCTTTCTCCACTCTCGGGCGCCCTTTGCTCGGCCCCTTTCCCGGGCTTTGCGCGCTGCTATTGGTCCAGGCTGTTGTTGTTGAAACTTTTTTTTTTTTTTTTTTTTTTTTACGAGCCGCTGGAGTGGGATTGCAGAGTGGGGGGAGGGCGGTGGGCAGCTCACATTCAGGCATTCAGGGCTTGAAAGGAACGGCTTAGGGAGCCTGACACAGGCCCAGCTCCTCCCACTCTTCAGGAGGCTGGGATACCGAACCCCAGCTCGCGCACAGAGCCAGCAGGCAGGGCTTAGGGCCAGCTGCCTGCATCCGGCTCAGCCTCCAGCCTTTTTGTTCGCTTCCCCCGCCCCCTTTTTGTTTTGGGGGGGCACTTTTATTAATTCTCACTTATCCTCCGTCTTTGCATTCGAGAGAGTTCGAAAGTCACTTTAATTTTCAGGCTCCCCGTCTTTGAGTCCCGGTCACCTCTGGGGATATAGTGAAGGGAGGGGGTCCTGAGAACTCAGTGTGAGAGTTCAGAAACTTAGATCGCGCGCAGGCACACGCGGCTCTCCTCTCTCTCTCTCTCTCTCTCTCTCTCTCTCTCTCTCTCTCTCTCTCTCTCTCTCTCTCTCTCTCTCTCTCTCTCTCTCTCTCTCCCTCTCCCTCTCTCTCTCCCTCTCTCTCTCACACACACACACATCATGACCACAACCCACTACCACCATCACAAGAAAGAAAGGCACTTTCCTTTAGTTCCCTGATCCGGCAGGTAAAGTCCTTGCACTGAGCGTCCTTTTCAAACCATAAGAAGTCCAAAGAACGGAATCCGTTCCCTTGACTCATTGTAACACAGACGGCAAAGACCAATCGTAGCGTTAGACACACCGGGGAGGCTGAGCGCTACCACCTGGCTGTGGTCACAGCACGGAGGACCGAGGTAAACCGACCCGCTACAAGCTGTGAAGCGTACATTACAGCGTGTTCAAAGCTAAGCTGCAGGCGGAGCTGGCTTGGCTTTGCGATCTGAAAAGCTGCCTTAACCGTGGCGGGGCAGTGCAGCCTTTGGCCACCAGAGGCACCGCGGGTCTGCGGCCTGTCAAAAAACCGGCGCTTTCCCCTCCCCTTTCCTTGGTGAGCCTATCAATTACGTCTGTCACAAATTTTAAGGCTAAATCGCTGCTGAAGCAAAGCGAACCCCAACCGCAGCAGCGCGCTCAGAAAGTGGACTGTCCACCTCTCCAAAGAGACAGGGGATTTGAAAAGGCGAAAGTGAGGGCCAGAGCCAAGACCCAGATCGGTTAACCTGGTTCTTGGCAAAGGCTCATTGCCCAGACTGGGAAGCTGTGCCTCCACAGCTGGCAACCGCCTCCAACCATGGGGGAGCCAGACTGAGTTATGCCGAGCCGAGCTGTCGTGCTCTGATTTTTGTAGCAGAAAAGAAATGGAAATCTATTCTCAAACATTGTCCAGGCGTGTTGCAACAAAGCCTTTTTATCACAGGCGGAGGCAGGAGGATCCCTCCAAGTTCAAGGCCTGCAGACTCCATCTAGTCAGTTGCAGGTTAGACCCTTGCTAACATTCGTTTTATCCTTGAAAAACAGTGATTCCGAGTTCCTCAGAAGGCCAGCCCGGGAGATGCGTCTTCAAGTTGGTGTTTGTTTCGGCTTCTTGAAAGAGATCTCAAAACAGCCTGCAGGAGAAACATCTGGAAACCTTGTGTTCAATTCTGGATTCCTGTCTCCTGGAGTCTGTCCGCTGAACCCCAGGAGGGCCTGGAAGTCTGCATTTCCAACAAAATTCAAGGGAGGGGGTACTATTGCCATTTAGCTGCTTGCTGGGGACATGCTCTGACCATCTCTGTCCTGGAGGTTGTAACTGGGTTCATCTTTACTGGTCAGGTGACATGTTAGTCTTCTGAGGGGTCTCAGTGGGAGATAAGGGAGGCCAAGATCTCTGCTCGACCTGAAGATGTTTCTACAGACTCGTGGCCTAAACATGGAAGGGGAGAGCCGGCGGTGGTGGCACACGCCTTTAGTCCCAGTACTCAGGAGGCAGAGGCAGGTGGATCTCTGTGAGTTCGAGGCCCGGCTGGTCTACAGAGCGAGTTCCAGGACAGCCTCCAAAACAATACAGAGAAACCCTGTCTCGAAAAACCAAAAAAGAAAAAAAAACTTGGAAGGGGAGAGGAGCGGGCAGCAACCACAGGCTGTTTACCCTATCGTACACACAGACCTTTCTGGGTCACAGGCTCGCACTTGGTAAGAACACCACGTCTGTGAATACTTCACCCTCCTCCCTCCACTCACCAACTTCTCAGTTGTGAATCCGCCTGACATTTTACTCCGCCAAGGTCACCAGGGGCAGAAGCACCACTGCAGACAGAAGGCTGGGAGGAGCCACCACCTGCTCAAAGCGCTCTCCTGTTTTTTTTTGTAGGGTGGCCTCTGGGACTCACCGCTCTTCTGACTGCCTCTCTCCAGTTTCTCCTTCCGTGTTTTCCTCCAAACACTTTCTTGTGCGTTCTATGTATGCGTATAACACCTGCATGTGTGTCCGTGTACTGTGTGCACATAGTACCTGCAGAGGCCAGAGGGGGGTTCAGAGACCCTGGAACTGGGGTTAAAGAGACTCTTGAGGGCTGCCTGCCGCGTGGGTGCTGGGGACTGAACCTGGGTGGGTCCTGGGAGAGCAGTTTGTGGTATTAGCTGTGGTCTTTCTGCTTTCCTTTGTTCCCCTTTCCATTTTCGTGTGTGTCTGTGGCAAGCTTGAGTGTGTGTGTGTGCGCACACGCGCGCGTGTGCACATGTGTATGTGTATGTGTGGTAGTTTGAATGGAAATGGTCCCTGTAGGTTCACAGATTTGAACTGCAGGGCCCCTAGAAGATGGAACTCTTTTGGGGGGATGAATTAGGGGGTGTGGCCTTAGAGAAGGCGTGTCACCGGGAGCGGGCTGTGAGGCTTCAAGAGCCTGCACAAGGCTCTGTCTGGCTGTCGCCCGCTTGGTGTTGTCAGTTCCCAGCTGCTGCCCCAGCACCATGCCAGCCTGCATGCTGCCACAGTTGCCGCAATGACGGTCACTCTCTGAAACTCTAAGCAAGGCCCCTCCCCCAGTTAATGCTTACCTTTATAAGTCACCTCGGTCGCAGTGTCTCTTCACAGCAACTGAACAGTGACTAGACCATGGATGTACCCACACATGTGTGCACGTGTGTGTCGGGAGAAGTCCTTCTGTGCGTATGTTTGTCTGATTGGTCGATAAATAGAGCACTGTTGGCCAATAGGGAAGCAAGATAGGTGGGACTAGGGGTCGAGGAGGATTCTGGGAAATGTAGTCAAGAGTGGAGGGTCTCCATGTCCATGTGATCTCCCGGGAGGAGAGAAGACCACCGAGCCATTTCCCCGAGCCCCTCCTCTGCCGTGGGGTATCTGTGCACCGTGTGAAGATGCATCCTGTGATTGGTTTAATAATGAGCTGAATGGCCAATAGCTAGGCAGGAGAGGATAGGTGGGATTTAGAGAGAGAGAGAGAGAGAGAGAGAGAGAGAGAGAGAGAGAGAGAGGGAGAGAGAGGAGGAGGAGGAGAAGGAGGAGAAGGAGAAGAAGAAGAAGAAATCAAGAGAGAGAGAGAGAGCAGGAGGAGGAAGGAGAAGGAGAAGAAGGAGGAGGAGAAGAAGAAGAAATCAAGAGAGAGAGAGAGAGAGTAAGGAGAAGGAGGAGAAGAAGGAGGAGGAGAAGAAGAAGAAGAAGAAGAAGAAGAAGAAGAAGAAGAAGAAGAAGAAGAAGAAGAAGAAGAAGAAGAAGAAGAAGAAGAAGAAGAAATCAAGGCACGTGACTTTCACCAGCGAGATGCTGGGAGAGCAGGACATGCAGTGCAGAGATGAGGTAATGAACCACATGGCGGAACATAGATTAAAAAATATGGGTTAATTGAGTTATAAGCCTAAGCTAAAGGCAACTTCCATAATTAATAACAAGTCTCTGAGTCATTGATTTGCACGTTGGCGGTCCTGAAGAGAAAGTGCTTACTATACTGTTCTTTTCTTTTTTCAGGGGCTGGTAGGTAGTCTCTGACATGGGTGGCCATCAAATTTTCTCCCTCCTTTTGTACTGGCGATACCCAGGTAAAGACCAACATCTGGTTCCTTTTCCTTAGAATGTTGGGCAGGTGTTGTGGGATATCTGATTGCATTGTGAAACTCGGAGACTGTGTTAGCAAAATTAACCTTGGATCAGGGGGTAGAGCCAGCGACTGGTGGACAGGAATTAGCTGTAGAGAGAATGGAGGAGCCAGGAATACGGACAGAGAGACACACACAGTAAGGAGTTGGGAGGGGACTTAGAGGCTCCTGGTATTTGTGGGGTCTCCAGCTAAGAAGGAAGGTCATCTACTTGCTTCTCAGCCTCTCAGATCTAGCAAGCTTTCACCTCAACACCTGACTCCTGTGTCTTTGTCGGTAAATAGAACAAGTTAGATTAAAAACAACAGGCAGGCCTTTCTGACGCTGACCAATAGAGCATGGCAACAGTAACTAGTCTCTATTTGGTGCTTCCAAGGTCAGGTCACATGAAACTCTAGGGTATCTGCTGGAGTGTCTTGAGATATTTGCTCTGGAAGTGTCCTGGAGACGGTTCCTGTAACATTTTGGTGTGAACAGTGTATATCTCTCAAGTTATCTTGCAAACCACATGTTCTCAAGCTGGGAAGCACCCAGGGAGCGTGTGCATGTGCGTGTATGTGCATGTGCGTGTGAGTGAGCACCTGTGTGTGTGTGTGTGAGTGTGTGTGTGTGTGCGCGTGCTTTTTCAAAACTCATATGCCAAGACTAACTCCATTGTGCTTCAGGTTCTCCCTGGGGACCAAGGAATGTGGGGGTGGGTGGAGACTGGGGGGTGTTTCCCAAGCATATTTCTGCTTAAACAGTCGTTCTTGTGATTATCAAACTTTCTAAAGTTGGAGTTACCTTTGGGAAAAATGATAACTTTTGCTATTTAGTATTGACAAGCAATAAATAAATAAATAAATAAATAAATCTCTTACTGCCCTCCACTGACCACAGTGTTCTATTAAATTAGGGAGAGGAGAAGCCTGTGGATGGGAAAGGAATAATCAGAGAATAAGGCCTTTCAGTTGATAAAGTCAAAGCTTTTCTTTTCCAACTTCAACATTAATGGAATTCCAGTGTAAACAGACCGCAGAAGGCGTAGTTGTTCATCCTCAGCCAGCCCTTTGGAATTACTGACTCCAAAACATTAAATGAGAGGTCCACCTTATGTTTTGGGACAGTGTTCCCCACTGAACGTGGAGCTCACCCGTTGCTGGACTGACTGTCCAGCAAGCCCTGGGGATCCTCTCCCCGCAGTGTCTGCAATGCTGGAAGCACAGGTGCGCTCTGCCACACCCAGTTTTTTGTTTTTTGTTTTTTAACAAGGATGAACGGTGGCGCAAACAGCTTCTCACACCTACGTAGCAAGTGTTCTTACCAACCGCGCTATCTCCCCGGACTGGGAAACAGACAATGGTATTTCTACCATCACTTCTCAGCTTTGCAAGTATCAAGTTGCTGCATTTTTGTTTTGTATTGCATTCCTTTACCCTGTGTGAACCTGTGTCGCTGTGGCTGGTTTAATAGAGAAGCTGACGGGCCGATAGCTGAGCAGGATAAGGTTAGGCGGGAAAGCCAAGCTGAGAATGCTGGGAGGAAGGGGGAGGGAGTCTGGAGCCGGCAGACACAGAGAGGAGCAAGATGGGCGTGGTGCACAGCAAAAAGGCACCAAGACACGTGGTAAAGCATAGAGAAGGAATGTGGGTTAAACTAAAATGTAAGAGTCAGCTAGTAACTAGCCTGAGCTATTGGCCAAGCATTTGTAATTAATATTAAGTCCCCATTGATTATTTGGGAACTGGCATGTGGGAAAGAGAAGTCAGTCAACAAATGTCTGGTTTTTAAAATTGCTGTTTGAGTCGCTGACTTGGGTTGTGTTAATAAAAGATTTTCCGTGATTTTTGACTTGGAGTTAGGACAGCATTTCCAACTAAGATGACCTTACGCACACTGGTACCTCTCTGTACTGCATGTGTGCCTGAAGAGGCTTTCTGAGGGTTGACAATTACAAAATCAACTCACCCGACCAACTGTAGAAAAACACCAAAGGTGGCCTGCATCCTGCAGGGTCAAATATCCAGCCTGGGTTTAATTCTTACGGGAAAAAATAAACACAGCCATCTCAGCAGTATGCAAATTTACTTATATTTTGACAAATGGCAAAATGGCATGCATACATTTGATTTCTCCACTTATTTTCTCTATCTCTATCAAATGGAGATTGCCAGAAAAGTAAAGGAGGTCCTGTTCTACACTGACCTGCGCTGCTTGCTGCTAACCAAATCACGAATCTACACAACAGCATCCAGGCTTCGGAAAACGGCCCAAGGTTATTACTTTCATTACAAAACATCATAGTTGGGAATACTGAATTCAAACACTTGACACCACTCCACGTATTCCCACGTATGCTCCCAAACACAAACTCACGGAGGTACACTCCCTTGCATGCATATTGCATGCATATGCGTGTGCACATACACACACACACACACACCTAGGTATGTGCAGACATGCCTGAGTCGTGGCATACACACTTGCATTTCCATTTTGGCACCTCTGTCCTGCTCTTTTACCTATTTTGATTCGTGGACCTCCTTCTTGCTTTGAGTATGATTTTTGGTCTTGGAGCTTTAGGTGATTGCCGGAGACTCCTGTTCCTGCTTCACGCATGTTCCTGCTTCACGCATGTAGTCTCTCCATCCGCCTTTCTGTGTGCACATGGGGTTTGTGACGTCAGCCAGCAGCTGGCTTCCAGGACGTCTGTGCAACCTACACACCCAAGTGCACGCTCCCCATCCGTGAGGCATCTCTCGGGGTGCTGTGAAATAGAGAACTCTAGCAACAAAATGAAGTCAGAGAGCAACGGTCAGGTGGTCTGTACTACTGAAGAAGAAAAATATTTAATCCTGTCAGACAGTGGCAAGCAGGATAGAAACCAGCAGCTTCTTTTCATCCCATAGAAACGTCAGCTAAGAGGGGACAGGCAGAAGCTGATCACGTTTAGGATAGCAATGGCAAGTATCCCATCAGAAACTGCCAGAGACTTTCAATTCAAACTGGAGATAAGACAGGGGTAGTCAGTCTCACTATTATTTATTACATCCTTGGTATTTCTAACACATTTGCAGCAAGGCTCTGATGGTTAGATTTGAACTTGATGCCCCTTGAGAGGAGAATCTAAAGGAGTGGTTGTCTCCATTGGGTTGGCTTGTGGACAGGTCGGTGAGGGATTGTCTTTTTTTTTTTTTTTCCAGAGCTGAGGACCGAACCCAGGGCCTTGCACTTGCTAGGCAAGCGCTCTACCACTGAGCTAAATCCCCAACCCTCCCTTTTTTTTAAACCAGGCATCATCTTTATGTTTATTAAGTGCAGTTGTTTATTGTGGTGTGTGAGTGTGTGTGTGATCCAGGATGTCGGAAGACAGCTTGTCAGAGTCAGTTCTCTCCTTCAGCCGTAAGGGCTCCAGGGATTGAACTCGGGTTGTCAGCCTTGGTGTCCAGCACGTTATCTCCCGAAGTTCTCATCGGCCCAGCATACGCTTTACTAATCTATTCTTTCCATCCCAATCCCAGTTCCCCCTCCCTCCTCTCATCCCACTCCCCCTACTCCCACCCCAACACCTCCCATCTGCTCCTGGGAGAGGGTAAGGCCTCCCCTGGGAAGTCTACTAAGTCTGTCCCATCATCTCGTTGGGGCGGGACCAAGGCCCCTCTGTGAGGGATTGTCTTGATTATTTGAGTGATGTGGGAAGACCCAGCCCCTTGAGGACAGCACCATTCCCTAGGCAGGAGCCCCTGGACCGGGTAGGAGTGGAGACATCAAGCTGGGCACAAGCAATTGTCATGCATTTGTCTGCTGCTGCCTGGGGATGTGGCGTGGCTAGCTGCTTGAGATTCTGGCCCTGACCTCCCCACGGCAAATCGACCATGACATGGACACAAGCCTCTTTCTCCTATGCTGCTTTTGGGGGGGGGTGTTTTTTTATTACAGCAACAGAAATAAAAACTAAGATATAGACCAAACTGCAGCTCGTAGGCAAACACTGAGAAAAAGGCGGGGCTGATCTCTGTCAGAGCAAAGGTGGCCAGCAGTGTGAGTGTCAGTGTTCCCTGATGTCCCCTTTTCCCAGTGTGGTGATGTCTTGCTTGTACAGATAAAGCCTGTCTGAAGATCAGAGGATGGAGCTTGCCACAAGCTAACCATAGAGGTCTGGAGGTCTGTGCAGACAGACAGGAAGTGAGATGGCTGGGCAGAGACAGGAAGTGGGATGACTGGGCAAAAAGAGGAAGTGAGACAGCTTGGCGGAGACAGGAAGTGAGACGGCTGGGTGGAGACAGGAAGTGAGATGGCTGGGTGGAGACAGGAAGTGATACAGCTGGGCAGAGACAGGAAGCAAGACAGCTGGGTGGAGAGAGGATGTAAGCGGGAAGAAACAGAAACTCGCTCTCTCTTCTGCTGGGAAGCTAATGAGGTAAAGGCGGCTTCGGCTTGCTCCTTCTCTCTGATCTCTCAGCGTTTTCCTCCATATCTGACTCCGGGTTTTTATTACTCAGACCTTTGCAGCAGGGCAGGAATGAGTGACTTATAGCTGGTGACTGTGACTGGCAGCCACACTGTCACCTCTAAGATAAGGTACATCACCTCCACTGCTAACACTCTCCGCTGCCCCTGCCCTGGCTGGCTGAACCTAGGGCCCCCCCTCGCCCCAAGGTTGTCCACAGATCAAAGCAGCTAGAAGGTCATGAGAGTGTGGCTTGGATTCACTCCCACGGTCCATGTTTGAGAAGCCTGTTCCTAAGGACCTTTGGGAGGAAGACCCACGTGGGTCCTTGTACTGCTGGGCACAGGACCTCAAAAGCAGTTGCTGGGCCTGCCTCCTTTCCTTCTTTCTTGCCTCTTGCCCGAGGTGAGCCATCATTGTCCCTCCTGTGTCCCTCCTGTGCCTCCAGAGGCCCAAAGCAACAGGGCGCTAGACTGCAGGCTGAAACCCACAGATTATAAGCTCACACAAGCCCCCCCCCTCTTCATAAAGCGGCCCTCTAGGCATTTGTTATAGTAACAGAAAGAAAGCTAACTAACATGCATGCAAACTTAGTACCTGGGGAGCAGCTACTCTGGGCCTAACAGCTGTCTTTCAAGTGACTGGAAAACGAATTTCTGTCGTGCCGATCCTGGATATTTTGTTATTTGTGTGGTGCCTTGCCTGTAATCTCCGCTCTCGGGAGGCTGAGTCAGGTGATGGTGAGTGGGAGGATGGGCTGGGACACTTTTCAAGGCTCTTATCTCAAAAGCAGTAACAAATGAACAAAAATATGTCACTGCGTGTTATGGTTTCCCATCCTGAATACGTCCCCACAAACTCCGGTTTTGATGCGCTTGTTCCCAAGCTGGTTGGCTCTGTTTTGAGAGACTTTAGATCTGTTAGGAGGAGGGACTGAGGATACTAGGGGGCAGGTTATACAGAGCCCAGCCCCTGGCTCCAGCTCATCTGTCTGTCTACATCCTGGACTTGCTGCAATGTGAACAGCAACAGCTGCACAGCCCTGTCCCCATGGGGTGGGGGACCTCACGCATCCTTGTCCCCATGGGGGGACATTCTGAAACCAGGAACCCATTTCAATCTTTCCTTCAGGGTGCTGCTTCTGTCAGGTGTTTGGGCCACAGAGATAATGACAAAATGGATGCAGTAAGTTCTACAACCCAGATAAATACCCCAGGTAAAGGCTCTTTCCTAAATGTCAGACCTAAGGAAGGAAAATTTCAGAAATATTTTATATATATATATATATATATATATGTGTGTGTGTGTGTGTGTGTGTTAAGTATATTTTATCTAACATATATATATATATATACATATACTTTTTCTAAACTTTATTTAGAAACACATTTTACAAAGAATACTTAAAGGAAACGTGTGGATAAAATTATAAAACAAAAAGCTTTCAAAATATGTAGACGTTCATAAAGATGAGGGTAGCGGAATGCTAATTTTCCAAAAAATGCATGTGGCACCATCGAAAGTCCTAACAGGGCTCCTGGAATCGAGGAAAAGCTTCACGTGGAAAAAGTAAGGGCTTGTGGATGCTCCAGAGCCGGAGCGTGAGGTGTAGGAAGCCCCGCTTGGCGTTAGTATCGAACATGGACCAGTTCCAGGGCAGCCTCTGTCCTGTGTAAAGCTCGTCAAGGGAACTCTTCAACACCGGTGGTGGGGGGAGATTCTAGACCCAGGCCAGTCGAGGGTGAAGCACCCCCCTCCCGAGGGATTATGTCTTCAGAAGGACAAGTGGAAGGCTGGAGAACCAGGAAGGAAACCCTTGCAGAGCCCAGGCAGTGCAGACTTCTCTAACCTGGCCCTGGGTTTCCACCCTGAGATGTGTTTCTGTTGCGCTTACATCTGACGCCGTCTGTGCTGGAGACCACTGCTCCTATCGGATCTAAAGCTCTCGGGAAGTCACAGGAAAATAACAGAGTGAGAGTAGGCGGGGACAAGACACGGAGACCCACAGAGGGTGTGAGCCTGTGCTGTGGAAAGGCGCGCGGAAAGATGTCTGGTCGCAGGAAACAGAAAAACGGGGATGAATGGGTGCCTGAGCTCAGTGCTGGCGCTCAGCAGATGGGTGGAGGTGGGGGTTCCAGGCTGCTGACTGGCTGGGGCTGTAGTTGGGATTCCCTAACCGTTGCTGGCGACTAAGTGATACCTCTAAAATATTCAGTGTGCGGGGTCGTCACTCCTGGGGGTGGGGATGGGGGGTCTTTGGCAATAACAGCCTGAAGAGCCACCGCAAATGCTCAGGAGGACGGGGTACACACCCCCGGGCCTGGCCCAGTGAGAGGAAAGGGGATTGTGGGCCTGAACACCTGGATAGCTTCATATCGGTTTGAGTTCAATAATAAAATCGGGTGCTTCTGTTTTTGTGCGTGTTGTCATCGTTGCAGTTTTATAAAATAGCAGTTTCTTCGGGTTTGTTTTAGGAACACGTGTGCGACGAACGGGAAGAAATAGTCTGTCTAGTCTGTCCCGGGAGATAACCTGAGGATACAGGACGACCTTCTCTTTCTGACCACAAGAGGAGTTCATGCTAGTGGTTTTCTCTGGTTTGAGGAGTAAATGAGCCATGTCCCAGAAATTAAGGATTTAAGGCACCATGTGAAGACTAAGGCGAGTTCTAATTCTTTGGGCAATGCTGGTAATAACCCAGGTTGCAGAATGATGGTGTAATCTGACCTCTAGGAACGTGCACAGGAGAGCAGCTGTCCAAATGCCGTCATCCTGCGGCTCTCCCCTCCTGCTTTGGAACTTGGGAGCTCAAGACCCTGGAGGGGTTTCCACATTTTACAGTTCCAGGAAACCTCCCACAAAACCAGCAGCTCCTGCCGTGCTCGGGAACCGTGGCCGTCATGTTACCTGTAACGAGGCCAGGTTTGACCCCAACAGTGCGGTCCCCTGTAGGACACAGCCTCCTGCTCTTGGTCTAGCACTTAGCGCTGCTCTTGTGGTCTAACACGACCACTGTTTTTTCATGAATGGGCCTCGTGGTGTTACCCAGTGTTACTCAACAACCAGACCCAATTCCACAGTGGGCGTTGCAGAATATGTTTCAGGTCTCCTTGGGCCCTGTTTTCCAGTCTACATTCTCACCACCCCAATGGTGAGCATTTCTAGGATGGCTTCATAAGTGCTCACAAACCGTCATAAAAAGAAAATCACCTCAGGTGGTACTTCTCTCTTGGGAATGTCTCTACATGAAGGTGGTATACTAAGACTGCCAGCAAAAAAAAAAAAGAAAGAAAACATCTGTCTCCAAATTGGTAAAAAGCTTGTGTGTGTGTCTAGTGGACACGTCTCAAAAAAAACAAAAACAAAACAAACAAACAAAAAAACCTAGGGAAAACACATCAGAACTGATGACATTCTTGTTGCTGAAAATCAACAATTGTCATAAAACGAAGGTCTTGTGATAAAAAATTCACACTCCTAATGACTCACAAAGATTATAAATCAAATATCTAAGAGGAAAAATGCTGTGTGTGGTGCACACTCTGTGCTTGGGTACGTGTGATGGGCATGTGGAGTCCAGAGTGGGATGCTGGCTGCCCTTTTCATCTTTTTTTCACTTTATTGTCTTGAAGCAGGGTCTGCCACTGACTGGAAGCACCCTGTTTTGGCTGGGCTCACCCTGGCATCTCCCGGCTCTGCCTTCCCCTCCCGGGGCATACACAGCTCTATCTGGTCTTTGAGCAGATGTTGGCCGCATGAACTCTGGTTTTCATTCCTGTGCCCTGGCATACTTGTCCCATCACGGGAACCTTGGCGATGCACAAGATGTTTTTGTGCCATGGAAGAGGTGCATTTTTTTAAATGACTGCGGATGGGTGAGGACGTACTACTTAAGTCTTCAGAAAATTAATACAAGTTTAAAATCAGGGAGCTTTACTGAACCAGCATCGGGCACCGCAGAAGGAATGTCTCCCCGATGGCGGCACCCTGTCCTTTGTCCTACCTGTCTCCATATCAAGTACCATGCCAAGAGAATTTGCTCAGAAATCAGTAACTAAAAAAGTAAGGTGTCTAGCAAAAAATGACAGCATTCATTTACTCTGAAATGCGACCCTCTGGAATTTCCTTTAAAATCTTAGGGGACCGCAGTCATACCAGGAAAAAAAAAGAAATTCTTTTTCTCTAAAAATTTGGAAAACTGCTAAATACTTGATACCAAAATGCCACCGTGTGACTGTTGGGGAGGTGAAATTTTTCTTTTACTGGTGGGGTATACTGGAGAAATGGATCTCCTGTGATTCCTCTATGCTGTCTGGTCTTTATGTGTTTCTGAGTTTGAGTCTGAACTGAGACAAGGGAACTACTTCCGTGCTCGTGAATGCTGTGAATCTTCACTCTACAGCAGGTGTGTGTGTGTGTGTGTGTGTGTGTGTGTGTACTTGAGCTTGTGTATGAGTGTGTGTGCCTGTGTGTGTCTGTCTGTGCTTGTGTGTATGTGTGTCTGTGTGTGTGTGTGCCTGTGTCTGTGTGTGTGTGCCTGTGTCTGTGTGTGTGTGCCTGTGTCTGTGTGTGTCTGTGTGTATGTGTGTCTGTATGTGTGTGTGCCTGTGTCTGTGTGTGTGTGCCTGTGTCTGTGTGTGTCTGTGTGTGTGTGCCTGTGTCTGTGTGTATGTGCGCCTGTGTGTGTGCCTGTGTCTGTGTGTATGTGTGCCTGTGTGTGTGTGTCTGTGTGTATGTGTGCCTGTGTGTGTGTCTGTGTGTATGTGTGCCTGTGTGTGTGTGTCTGTGTGTATGTGTGCCTGTGTGTGTGTGCACGTGATCTCATGCCTGTCAGATGGAGGCTCCTCTTTGATTTCAGCCATCTGCCATCCCAGCTTCACTAATGAGTTTGCCGTTAGAAGATGACTCAGCTGCCTTTCACTTGTCTGGGCTCAAGGGTAGGATTGGGATGTGGCAAGGGAAAGATAAAGAGGAGGTGGCTTCTTCTTGTCCCAAGGCACGGTAGTTTTTGGCAGTTTGGTGACCGTTAAGCAGGAGTTAAATCCACCCTGAATTAAGAAATTTCCACTCTCGTTACCCCTCACTCAGCAAACGCTGACCACCTGTGTGTGTCAAGGCCCCATCCCGGATCCTATGGAGCAAGCCACAGATGAGCTCCTGCCCTTCTGGGTTGTCTATCCAAGGTCAGCACCCTCTTTGCCTCGGCTCTCCTGAATCTGGGGAGCAGGTGAGTCCTGGCTGTGAGATCCGGAAGTCGCTGGTGCCCACAGCATTGTCTCCCACCATGCAGAAGTGAACTGAATTCCTTCTGAGGACTTTGTAGGCCTGAGCAAGAAGTTTCCTGAGATCCCCGGCTCCCTGCAAAGCATGCAGGGAAGGGTGCGTGACAACAGGGTTAGGGCACCTCTTTAAGACCGTGTAGCCAGCTCCTGCCCGGGACTCCTCAGAATTGCTCAAGGAGAAGGAAAAAGTGAGTGAGGGAGAAACAAGTGCACACAGACATTTTTAAAGTAGCCAGCAACCGAGACAACACCAATTATTTAACCACACTAAAGAAACCAGCAGCCAAACCACAGATTATTTAACCGCATATCCAAGTGCCGAGCACAGCCCCAGCCAGCCACGGGTCTTGTAATGTAAATATCCCCAGCAGCCGGTTTCCCACGGAGCCCAGAGCTGCAGACAGAGGACAGCCACTCACCTGGTCCTGTGTCTGCCCTACATGTGTGGAGCTGAGAAACTGGCTCCCATCCAGCCGGGATTTCCCTTGTATTTACTTTTCGCATTCACGTTATTGTTTCTCTAAAAACAGAAAGTGTTCTTCCTCTGCTGAGGTGAGACCCTTGTGGGCGTGTGAACACAGGGAAAGTGTTTCCCATGGACAGAATTCCCTTTTTGTCATGCTGTGTCCAACTTTCCTTCTTATTCCCAACCTCTTTCTCTCTCTCTCTCTCTCTCTCTCTCTCTCTCTCTCTCTCTCTCTCTCTCTCTCTCTCTCTCTCTCTCTCTCCGTCTGTCTCTCTGTCTCTCTCTGTCTCTGTCTCTCTCTCTCTCTCATTTGGTCCTTGCTTCAGTACTTCTCAATAACTACTGAGTGCAAGGTTTACTTTCATATATATATATATAAATAGTATATATTGTATATGTGTACACATGTATTTTTTAAGCGTGTTCAGCCCTTGCTTCAGTACTTCTTGCTAACTAGCGTGCGCAAGGGCTATTTCAGACAGTGTTTGTCAAGGAAGCAGTCACTTTCTTCTTTGCTGCCAGTGGTGACATGATCCACAAAGGGAAATGTCTCCAAGTTCTCCCTCCATCCAGAAAATCCCGTGGACGTTCTGATGCAGACGTTCACTTAAAGAGCCCAGCCGTGTTCTTTCCTAGCCACGGGAGTGGCATCTGACCCAGGGCTTGCCTGGGGGTTGGTGTCTCCGCAACCAGTCGGATGCCCCTCATTCCAGGAGGGGAGACAGCTGAGGAGGACCCTGTGCAGGCCCAGGGTAGGAGGCAGGCAACCAACACACAGCCACCTGCTGGAGATGGACAAGAGGCACTGTCTCCTGCTTGGCTTCCTCTCTCATAAGACCGTCTCTGCTTCAGCCCCTGGACTCTAAGAGTGCTGCTGTGACCTGGGAGAAAACAGGGCCGATGGATGAGTTGCAGGCCTCTTTTCATACCTCTCTCCCTGCTAGCGCCCACCTCTTCTGTGAACGTGTGTTGCTGTCTGACTTTGTCCTCTGAGCCTAACATGTTCATCCCGGCCGCCAACATGGAGCAGAGGTAACCTGGGCTCCACGGTCACGGTGATCGACTGAAGTTAGGTAGTGGTGACCGGAGATTAACACTCTCCAGTAGAAGAGATGAGAGGGTGCTTGCTGGTCAGGGTTCTCTAAAGGAAACGAACTGACAGAAGGAACACACATTAAAAAGGGGGTTTACTAGATTATCTTACAGGATGCCGACTGGATTCTCCAACAGTGGCTGTCTTGCACCTCAGAGGTTGAAAATCAGTGGAGGCGGTGTTTAAATGAGTCCACCAGACGTAAGATAAAGCATACATAGATATTTATTAGGGAAGTACTTACACAGATAAGAGTAAATAACCCCCTTGGTCTTCCTGCTCCAGAAAATGAGGTCTCTGTCCTTCCAATGCTCTCTGAAATCCAAGAGAGTGTGAGCCAGCCCCTCCTCTACCTTATAATGGATCACATTGGCACCTGAAACCACGGTTCATTCTTGTGTGGGACTTTTCAGTGATGCAGTCTTTTTTTGGGGGTAGGGTGGGGCACCCATACTTCAGTAAAAAGTCCCTTGCCCATATTCCTGGAAATGAACCCAGGCTAGGCTGAGGTGAGATTGTTACTTTGGTCTGTGGCTGGTGACCCAAATGACATTTGTCCGTGCCTTCCCAGGGAAAGTAACAAAGTGACATGGAGTTGGTTCTACAAAGACATTTCTAAATGAAATGACTTTTTACTCTATCTAAAAGGATGGCTCTGAAACAACCCAACACGCCTAATTGGGTTTGAGATTTGTGGATGCCATTATGGAATTGCTATTCACAAAAGCATGTCCACAGGCCACTTCTGCTACTCAGCCCCAGGTGAGGCACAGCCCCTCTGCCTGCCCCTCCACCCTGCCCCCTGCCCCCTGCCTCCTGCCCCTCCCCCCTGCCTCCTGCCCCTGCCCCCCCTGCCCATTGGCCAGTGCCTTATGGGAGTCTATGTTAAGTTCTGACTCTTGGGACCCAAATCTGAGCAGGTTTTAGGGATGGGGAATTAGAAGAGCCATTGAGACAAGGTTGGGGTTTTTACAAAACAACCATGTAAATACATAGACATGGAAATCAGACAAAGACACTCACTGCAAACACAAGGAAACACCTGGAACTGAAGGGAGTGGTCAGTCTTGTTTCCTTACCCCGAAAAGCTACGTGAGAGAAGCCATCTCTGCGTAGAGAGAAAGGGTCTGGTGGTCAGTGACCCGATCAGAAAGGCAGTGAGATAAACCTGATTATTGAGAACCTTTAATCCCAGCACTTGGGAGGCAGAGGAAGGCAGATCTCTGTGAGTTCGAGGCCAGCCTGGTCTACAGAGAGAGTTCCAGGACAGCCTCCAAAACAATAGAGAGAAACCCTGTCTCAAAAAACCAAAAAAAAAAAAAAAAAAAGATACCTCAGGTGCTTGTGGAAGTCTCAGGGAAAGCAGGTGACAAGACTCCAGTGTTGTAAGAGCATTGGCTGCTAGAAAAGTGATGGAGACAACGCTGCCATCAGCCACAGAAAAGTGTCCGTCATCCCTTTTTGAAG